AATTCTCCATAAATATTTCAAACAACTCAACTGGAGCTATAAGTTAGATAATTTTTGTTTTCATCGATCTGCACATAATATTTAGTTATTTTTGTGAACTTTTCGTGTTCCCCTTGGCCTGTAAATTTTCATCGACAAAAATTTAGATGGAGGAAGCAAAAGTTGAAAAAGAACAAGCAATCAATGGACAGGAAGCAAGTAATTCCCAGAGAGAAAGGTACCTCACTTTTGAGCTAACTATGGGCGAGGAGGGATTCGAACGCCCGACACTATGGTTCATTCGGGAAGTTGCAACAATAACAGACGTCCAATATTTTTCGTTGTTATCAATTTCAAGTCCAAAAACTTCACGAGCATTAGTCTATTATTTTTCGAAGAAATGATAATTTTTTATGCAATAAACACCATTTTTTGATTTGTTTGAGAGTATCTTCTATATGACACAAACTTTGATTTTGGCATTAACGATTATTAAACAAGTACTCCCTCGGTCCCATTTATATAGGTCAACTTATCTTATTTTCCTATTCCAATTATATAGTCATATTTCTTTATGGAGAATGTTTTGTTTTGTTTGTTTACTAATATACCTTTATTTAATTTGCCTAATTATAACCAATGTGAGAATTGAAAATTAAATCATTAAAATGGCCAAGATAGTAGTAGAACCAGTTGAAAAGCCAGAAGCACGAGCCCTCGCTATACTATAAAGAAGCTTTCAGCGTGTTTGACACATCGAATTAGACGGTATGAGGTTTTAAGAGTCAATTATAATGGATATTGCTGTGTAAATAGATCATTTTAGGGATGATTGAGGTGAACCGTATTCTTTACATTTTTATTCAAAATAATTTTATATGCACTATTTTTCTTAAACTAAATGGATAACAGGGAGATGGGTTTAGGCTGACAAGAAAGATAGTGCAAATAGAAAGAAAAAATTGAGAATATTAGCTCCCCTCTAGTGAATCAATTTGACATGAAAAAACTTGTGAAATTGATTGTTAAAACATGAAAATTTGACACAGTTAAAATCTTGCAACAATTCCCTGAACTATCAATTGCATTATCGAGACAAAAACCGGATTGAAATGAATCGAAATCAAACACGAGAATAGATATGAACCATAATATTTTGATACTCCACTTCCTTTTTTCAGTTCTTAATTAATCAGAGAACAATTTGTAAAATATCAAGTATCACTCCCACGGTGCTTCGAGAGCTCCTTTACATTCTCACAGAAGAAAAACTCAACTATTGCAGTCAAAAAAACAGAAAGCTTTACGAGCGGCCAAAAACACCTTCGGCATCACGAGCAGCACCCTGAAACATATAAATACAAATAACGGTCAAATATAAATTCGAGTCAAAACTAAAACAAAATTCCTCATCAAATAATGATCACAAAGTGGTATAAGATTAACAGGTTAATCTCTTCATTGATTCATTTTTCATATCAAAGTCAGGTGAAGTTACCGGACCAATATCTGCTATCAATTGTGCGCGAAATGAGAGGGCAAGGCCCCAGTTATACAAGGCTCTCAAATCATTCCGGTTTATGGAGAATTACAGAATCACAGTCTGTTTACACAACACAACTCAAATCACACAAAACTCAACTGAACAAAAATCCGTTTACACAACACTACTCAAATCACACAAAACCTTTTTTTCCATTTACACTCGTCCACTGCACAACACTCTGACTGCCCGAAATGAAGATTTAAAAAAAAAAAATGAAGAAGAAGAAGGGAACAGCAATAACTCAACTAGTGCGAAATTTTTGGTTCGTTCCCAGTCGGAGCCAGTCGGAGATTTTAGTTCGTTCGGCCGCCCTTTTCTTCTTACTGCTAAAAACCTCCTCCGCAGATCAACGCCGGTGGAGTAGAGCTGGAGACCGAAGAGGCGAATGGGTTGAGTGTTCGGAAGGGAGTGGGGCTGCAGACCGGAGACACTAAAGCCGTTGGAGATGATGTGGGAATCGCCATGGTGAAAATTTGGGGATCTGTTGGCGTGGGGGGGAGAAATCGGGATTAGGGATGGGGGGAATGTGATTTTACCATTTAATTTGGGCGGGTTATCCTTCTGGGCTGGGTACTCACCCATTTGTTGTGCCACGTAGGAAAATTCAAAAAGTTGTGTAAATGGCTGTGTAAATGGACTGTAAGAGTAGCATTA